TCAGCTGGTATACCACTTCCAGTTTTGGACTCTACACTTTGTGAAAGATGTAAACAAATTGGAGGGAGTCCAGAAGAGAACAGCATGAATGAGAAGAGATTTAACAAACTTGACATACAAGGAAAGACTGAAGGAACTGAGTAGGGCTCTGCAAATCTTTGGTCCCTGATTTGATTCGGTAGAGACTCAGCCCAATTCGGTGGCCAAATCTACAAATCCAAATCAAATCAGGAGACCCTTTAATCTCTCCGAATCAGATCAGAACCCTCCAAACTGATTTGGAGAGATTCGGAAAGATTCAGAGATTTGGACATAGACACAGCTTTAAATGTTTTTTCTACGTACCTCTAGGTAGCAGGCAGCTTGTGAATGCTGCAATGGTGGGGAAGATGGAGTGTCCCACAGGAGCACAGGGGGCTCCCCAGTGCACTTGGCAGCAAACCTGGAAGTGGACCAGAAGCACTTCCAGTCCACTTATGGGTCCACCAAGGAGCGTGCAGGGCCCCCCTCCCCACATGTCCCTCAGGCTCAGTGACTGGTGCCTGCTGTGTCTGGGGAGGCACCCGGGGCCCCCCCCACGTTCAATCAATGTGAAGTGGCAATAATTCTGGTCCGCTTCTGGGTTTGCCACCGACCATGCAGGGGGCCCCCCCACACTCCTGTAGGACGCTTCATCCACCCCAGCATCACAGCGTTCACAAGCCGTACCTGGTACCTCGAGGTATGTAGAAAAAACATTTAAAGCTGTGTCTATGGCCAAATCGTTGATTCTCTGAATCAACATTGAATCTTCAGATTTGAGTTCAGCCAAATTGAATTGGGGACAGTGATCTGAATCAACAAATCAAATCACTGTCCCCAATTTGGACCGAATCCAAATCGAATACGGCCTGTTTTGCACACCCCTGCTAAGTACATTTCATCCACAGAGAAAACTAAGGAGACAGGGGAAAGTATGTTACTGGCCTTTAAAGGTGTAAAAATGATTATTTATAAAGAGGACCCTTATTCTTTCCTTACAGGGAGGAAGACTAGAACATACTGCATTAATTTAAGGTGGATATCTGGAAAAAAATTATAACTATAAGGGCAACTGTAGATAGGAAGAGGGAGGATTATGGAATTGTCTTCTCTGGGTGGGGTTGAGATCAGATGAGACTAGCCTATCTGATGCTCTAGTTTGTCACAACCCAGTGATTTTGGTGCCTTGGCACGATGGAATTTTCCCGCCACATGAGAGCTTCTTGCACAGCAAAAGGTTTTTGTTGCAACAGAAAAACCTCGGTGAAAGAGAGTTCCCACCATTTGAATGCAAATTTGTGTTCCGCTATTGGCCAGTTCTAAATTATTCCTACGTGGCGGCTAGTAATTGGTTTGCTAGCCGTTTAAAATTTCGTGCGACTTCTGTTACCCAAGTCGGAGAACTTTGAGCACGCTGCAGAGTGCCTCTAAAGAGATCTGACTTGCGGCTGAGCTGATCGATAGACTGATCACCTATCGATCCTTCTCCCCGTCGCTGAGCGCAATCCTCGACGTACCCTTTCCCCGCCGGCTTAATTTGTGGACAGATTAGCTGGCCTGAGCCTTGCCAGCTAGAGCAACTCACATAGTTGTTCAAGCGACCGGACCACCTGCGTCGCGGCTACAAGCGGCGTAAGTAAAGTTTTTGCAACCAATAAGCTGTGTCTGCCTCTCCATTCACCAGCCCGCCCAAATGACCGAGTGATATTTGAATCGTCTCGAGTCGGCTCCGGCCGTCCGAGACATAGTTAAATTTGAGCAAGGGGATTAATTTGATCAGTGGGGGTCAACCTTTCCTGCAGGCATGCCACAAACTAGCTGTGCACCCTCCCTGACTGCCACTCCAATCCCCTTCCTTTGGCTGATCTGCTGCTCTACATACTGCTCCCTACTCTGTATTTCCTGCCCGATCGCCTACTCTGCTCCCTGTTTTGTGCTATCTGCCTGATATCCTGCTATATCTTCTGCTTTCTGCCCTACCTACTGCTGTGCTGTTTGTCCCCCTCCCTGACCTACATGTGCCACACATTGAAGCTGCACATTCCACTTGTGGGACTTATGCTGCAGGCTAGTCGCCCCTGGACTAGATGATGTCTTGAGGTCCTTCTCAACCCCAAAACTCTCTGGCTAGGGACAGATATTGCACACAAACCGGTTAAAGTGATCAGAAACTGGTTTAAACCTGTAACAGAACAGATGTTCAGTGAACATAAACCAGTTTGAAAAAAGCCAGTTTGAGAGAAACCTGGTTGAATCAGACTTAAGTGATTTGGCTCAAACTGGTTTATGCAGTGTCTGTTCCAGACCCCTTGTTGGTTTAAGTTAAACCAGACACCCCCAGCATCCCGGCATGCTCTCTGGGCTGGGCTGGGTGGGGCTGTCTGCTCCACAGGAGAGCTGGCCCCTCCCTTCTGCTCCCTGTCTGCAGCTCCAGCAGGAACTGCATGCTGCTCACCTCCCTCCCCCTCACCACTCCCTGCTAATCAGGAATTCTCCCCTCCTCTCTGCCCTGTGAAGAAGTGTCTGTGTATTAGCTAGCAGACCATGGTCTGGATTGATTCTGCTGGCTACAGCACCTGCTGAAACAACAGGCAGAATCAACAAGTAGCTGGTAATGCCCCTCTCTTGTTGTCTTACTGGGGTGATAAACACTCTCTGGTCTGGGTGGGGCTCTTTGCTCCACAGCAGGGCTGGCCCCTCTCCTCTGTTCCCTGGCCGAAGCTCCAGCACAGACTGTGGGCTGCCCCCCCCCCCCGCCAACACTCCCTGCTAAGCAGGAATTCCCCCCTCCCCTCTGCCTTGCAGAGTGGTGTCTGTGTATTAGCTAGCAGACCACATGCTGGCTATGGTCTGTGTTGAATCAACAGACAGAATCAACAAGTAGCTGGTAATGTCCCTCTGCTGTTTTTTAATTGGGTGATAAACACTGAGTTAGGGGGTGAGAAACACTGTTAATTCCCTGCTGCACTTATCATAGCATACTGCCAAGGACTGGCCACACACCCCTCAGCTCAATGCTGTGGAAGGAAGAGAGGGCTGCTTTAGCACCCCCTGGCTTCTAGCCTGAGCCACTGCAGGCATGTGCCCGCATTTCTGGGATGTCTGTCTGGTTATAAAACTGATTTAGTCTAGCCAGGTTAGACTAACCTGCAAAGATTGAATCAATTCAGGCTCAGGATTTTTTAATGTCTGTCCCTAGCCTCTTACACCAAGAGCCAGATCCAGCCTCTAATTCTCACCATCCTCTATCCTGATGTCCCTTCTTCTCCTGTTTGTCCTTCCTCCCCAGTCTTCCCTCCTTCAAGCTACTACACCATCTTTCCCTTCTCAGAAGTCACTGGCCTTCTAACTGTACCCCCTATCATCGTATCTACTTCCCCTACAGACCTCTCTTTTTTTTCCTTCCCATCCCGCACCATGCAGTGCTCTTCTACTACATGTTAGCTCACATGTCCATGTGCACATGAGCAGGGGCATGCATTTGCAGCAGCACAAGTAGCAGCACAAATTTGTGACAATGCTTCATGCTGCAGTGCACGCCCCTGCTGGTGTGGTTTGCAGCAGGACATATTGTTCCACTGCTCAGTGTGCTGCTGGGAGGGCTGGCTGGGGCACAGGATGCCTCAGCACAGGGCTAGCCAGCAGGCAGCCTCCATGCTAAGGCATCCTGTGCCCCAGCCTGCTAGGGAGCAGCACATGGAGATAGAAGAGTAGGCAGCCCAAGGTTGCCTGTTTCCCCCATGTCCACATGTTGTAGAGCCCCCACGCTGAGGCACTGTGTGCCTTGATACAGAGGAACAAGCAGCCATGGGCTGGCTGCTCCTCTGTCTCCATGTGCCTCAGCGTGGGGGCTCTGCTCCCCCCCCCCCCCCCCCCCTGCTGAGGCACCCAGTGTGGAGCAACTGACTGGGACACAGTGTGCTGAGAGACAGGAGCAGGCAGCTCCAAGCTCTGCTGCTGGCTGGGGCACAAGATACTTCAGTGTCGGGGCTCCGCAGCGTGTGGACATAGGGGAGCTAGCAGCCCTGGGCTGCCTGTTCTGCCGTCTCTGGATTTGTTCTGGCACAGAGCACTTTAGTGTGCTTTGTGTCGCTTTTTTTTGCAGGGTTTTTTTGCTATGCTACTGGGAAATCTCAGTAGCAAATTTTGCCCCAGCGCTGCTAATTAGCAATGGGGCACACAGTTTAACATGCAAGGTGTGCGGGTTTTGGTGCTGCAAAGAGGTTTGCAGTGCTACAAACTGCATGTGCCTGCACATCTAGGTCCAGCCCATGGTGGCAACTACTGTGATGAAATCCTAGTGTAGATAAGGCAGTTGTAGTGGTCAGACATGTTGTGCCTTCACTTGCTAACATAGTTCAAACAACACTTTTCCCTAACTTTCCCTAGTTCATGGGATAAATGGCTTAATTAAGCAGCTCACCAGAAAGATGATATCCTCAGCAGCATGGTGGCCCAAGTACCAACCTAGTGCTGGACTATTAGTACACTTTGGGTTCAGCGGAGGGATGCCACTTACTGAATCATTTAGACTTCCCTTTCACTGGGAAGTCTCCCATCTAAATAATGTCCAAGCATAACCGTGTCCTTCTTAGAGTTGAGATTCTAACAACCTAAGCAATGCAGTACAGCTGGTAGAAAAGTGGTATTTCTCAGTGCATGCCAAAACTTATATTAGCTTTAGTCACAGTCCTATATGACTACCAAAAGGATAAATGAACCTCTTGGGGTGTGGGGGATATTGTCTAGCAGATGAGAACAAGTTATGATATGCAGGTCAAATTTCAATATTACTGTTATTTGAGTTTTTCTACACTGGAAAATATTTTAGCCTCTTCTTGTTACATAGAGTTCAACATTACATATAAAAGTGCTTAAGATTATCACAGAAAGCTTGTAGAAGCAATTATCGTCTTGTTTTAAAATATATAGCTGAAATTTTTTTCCCCTAAAATAAAATTCTACTATGTTCTAATGTCTCAGTAATAAAACACTTGATTTTTATTTTACAGATTTGTTCTTTTCCTACTTCTATCAAATGTATTTATTCAGCCAGTTGATGATGTCTTTTCTTGCTTCCTCAATGAAAGGTTTATCTTTGGGGTTCATGTCTTCTCTCTTGCGATGTACAAAGCCATGAGTGTGTCCAGGGTAAATTTTAACGTTGTAATCAACTTTACAGTGCTGCTTCAACTTCTGCTCCATTATGGTAACCTGGAACACAAAGCATCTTTCCATTAGCAATACTGAGTTACCCTATTGTATGTTGTCAGTTCTCAGCCTTCAATTTCCTGGAAAATGGGAAATAGCAGTGTCTTCACTAATTTCACACTTTGGGCCTAACTGAATTTCTGTTATCTCACTCTTCTTTTTAACAAGATTTTTTCTTCTGGTAAAAAGACATTGTCCTTGAAATATGGTTCTCTAAATTTTCTTTCTTTCTTTCAAGATGGCCACCGACAGTTGAAGCCCTTCTGAGCTCCTGCAGCTCAGGTGCTTTCAGCTCGTTGCCCCGCACTCCCTGTCCCCTTTTGCCTCTCCCCACCCTGTCCCTGGGGACCCCCTCCCTGCCCCTTCCCCCCACTTTCTGAGCATTTTTCCCCTGGGCTCTGGCAACCTTGTTTGTCTCTGCCCCTCCCCCACCCCCGCCTGAGTTCTCCCTTTGTTTTCTGCTGCCTCCCTCCCCCCGGGCCCCTTC